TATCGCGATATCGAGGGGTTGTATCGCGATATCGAGGGGTTGTATCGCGATATGGAGGGGTTGTATCGCGATATCGAGGGGTTGTATCGCGATATCGAGGGGTCGTGTCGCAAATAAGATGCAAATGAGATGCAAATGAGATGCAAACACGACGGAAACGTGGCGCAAATGAGATGCAAATGAGATGCGTGTGGCATGCAAATGAGATGCAGGCGCGACGCAAACGGGACGCAAATGAGATGCAAATGATATGCAAATGAGATGCGAGCGCACTGCAAATGAGATGCAAATGAGATGCAAACACGGCACAAATGAGATGCAAATGAGATGCAAGCGGCATGCAAATGAGATGCAAACGCGAGGGGCGTGGCCGCACCCACCTGGCTCAGGGCGGGGTCCCCGGGGGGGCGGAGCCTCGCTCGCCCCTCCCCCCCCTCCGAGTCCGAGTCCGAGTCCTGAGGGGGCGGAGCCAAAAATTGGCGCCAAATCCCCGGATTTTGGCGGGAGGGGGAGCCCTGACCTCACTTCCGGTTCCTCCCCCACTTCCGGTTCCTCCCCCTCCCCCGGTTTTTTTTTTAGGGGGTCCCAGCTCCAACTTCCGGGATAATTTTTCCCGGTTTTTGGGGTTTCTCCCCATTTTTGGGGCTCCCGGTTCTGTTTTTGGGGTGTTTGAGCCGTTTTTGGCGCGTTTTTCCCGGTTTTTGGGGCGTTTTTCCCGGTTTTTTGGGAGGGGGGGGGTCTCGCCTGGTGGAGTTCCCGCGTCCGGTCCCTCATGGCGGCGAACCGGAAGCGCCGGCGCCGCGCAGGCGCAGAGGAAACGCGAGGAACCATGGAGAGGGAGCCGCTCTGGCCGCCAAAACCATAGAGAGGAGGGGCGAGTCCTCCCGGACCACAGACAGGAACCGGAAGTCCTCCAAGACCATAGAGAAAAGCCGGAAGTAATCTAACACCATAGAGAAAGCAGGAAGTCCTCCAAAAACCATAGAGAGGGACCGGAAGTCCTCCAAAACCATAGAGAAAAGCCGGAAGTAGTCTGGAACAATAGAGAAAGCAGGAAGTCCTCCAAAAACCATGGAGAGGGTCCGGAAGTCGGCTCTAAGACCATAGAGAGGAACCGGAAGTCCTCCAAAAACCGTGGCGACCAAGCGGAATTCCGGCGTTCTGATTGGTCGGTTCGGGATGAGGGAGGCGGGGCCAGCGGGGAAAGGGGGCGTGGCCGGGCGGTGCCACTTCCGGGCTCCGGCGGGAGCGGCGCGGAGGCGCCGGGGGGGGTAAGGGGGGGGGGGAGGG